GATGCTCTCCCCTGCTCCCCTGAGCTCCAGGAGCTGCCCCCTGCTCATCTTGCCTCCTGCCTGCCCCTGCTCAACTTCAGATGCTCTCCCCTGCTCCCCTGAGCTCCAGGAGCTGCCTCCTGCTCATCCTGCCTCCCGCTGGCCCTGCTCACCCTCAGATGCTCTCCCCTGCTCCTCTGAGCTCCAGGAGCTGCCCCCTGCTTGTCCTGCCTCCCACTGCTTGTGCTCACCTGCAGCTGCTCTGCCCCGGGCTCCTGAGCTCCAGGAGCTGCCCCAGCTGGTCCTGCCTCCCGCTGGCCCTGCTCACCCTCAGATGCTCTCCCCTGCTCCCCTGAGCTCCAGGAGCTGCCCCCAGCTTGTCCTGCCTCCCACAGGTCCCTGCTCACCCTCAGAGGCTCTCCCCTGCTCTCCTGAGCTCCAGGAGCTGCCCCCAGCGGTTCCGGCCTCCTGCCTGTCCCTGCTCACCTTCAGATGCTCTGCCCTGCTCCCCTGAGCTCCAGGAGCTGTCCCCTGCTCATCCTGCCTCTTGCTGGCCCCTGCTCACCTTCAAATGCCCTGTCCTGCTCCCCTGAGCTCCAGGAGCTGTCCCCTGCTCATCCTGCCTCTTGCTGGCTCCTGCTCACCATCAGATGCCCTGCCCTGCTCCCCTGATCTCTAGGAGCTGCCCCCTGCTCATCCTGCCTCTTGCTGGCCCCTGCTCACCCTCAGATGCTCTCCCCTGCTACCCTGAGCTCCAGGAGCTGCTCCCAGCTGGTCCTGCCTCCCACTGGCCCTGCTCACCCTCAGATGCTCTCCCCTGCCCCCCTGAGCTCCAGGAGCTGCCCCCAGCTGGTCCTGCCTCCTGCCTGGCCCTGCTCACCCTCAGAGGCTCTTCCCTGCTCCCCTGAGCTCCAGGAGCTGCCCCCTGCTCATCCTGCCTCTTGCTGGCCCCTGCTCACCCTCAGATGCTCTCCCCTGCTACCCTGAGCTCCAGGAGCTGCCATCTGTTCATCCTGCCTCCCGCTGGCCCTGTTCACCCTCAGATGCTCTTCCCTGCTCCCCTGAGCTCCAGGAGCTGCCCCCTGCGCATCCTGCCTCCTGCTGGCCCCTGCTCACCTTTAGATGCTCTGCCCTGCTCCCGTGAGCCCTAGGAGCTGCTCCCTGCTCACCTGTGACTGCTGTGCCCTGAGCTCCAGTGCCTGCCCCGGGTTTGTCCTGCTTCCCACCAGCCCCTGCTCACCTTCAGATCCTCTCCCCTTGTCCCCTGAGCTCCAGGAGCTGCCCCCTGCTCCTCCTGCCTCCCACCGACCCTGCTCACCTGCAGCTTCTCTGCTTTGGTCCCTGAGCTCCAGGGGCTGCCCCCTGCTCATTCTGCCCTCCCTCAATGACTTAGGCAGCTGTTGCCCTTCTGCCTATCCTGGCACCCCCTGTCCAGGTTTGGGCTCTTTTTCTGGCCTCCTTTTCTTTTGCAGCACTTGGCTTGCTCCCTGTGCTGTGAAGCACCCCCAGTGCCCAGCCATCTCTCCCCAACAGAGCCGCTTGCCCCTGCCCATGTGCCCCTCCTGGAGGAGCTCCTGGACCCTCCTGTCCCTGCACTGGTCATGCTCTCAAAGCCTCTCCTGAACCTCTGCTCCCCAGTGGCTTCTGCTCTGTGGGGTCAACTCCCTGAATCCACGGAGCCTCAGTCCCTTCCCTTGTCCTGTCCTGTGCCCCGGGCCCTTCTGGGCCTCCCTGTGCTTGTCCCTCCTCCCACTCGTGCGCTTAGCACTGCTCTCCCTCCTCTCCGCTGCTGACCACAGCCCTGCTCCCCGCCAGCTGGCACCCCAGCCCCTGTCCCTCCCCTGTCCCTGCCTCTGCCCCGGGCTCATTGGCTCCCACCCTCCCTGCCCTGCTCCGGGCTCACCTGCTGTTCTTGGTCTTGGTAAGAGGAGGGCCCCATGGCCACCACTGCTGACCCTGTCCTGGGCTCGGGTGATGCTGAGGCCTGGACAAGCCCCTCTGTTCACCTGGGGCCTCTCCTCCTCCCTCCTTCTGCTGCCTCCTCAGCCCAGGTTGGTCCTACACATCCTGGCATCACCCCACGGCCGGCTCTGCCACATCCCATCATGATTCTCGTGGTCCCAGCCTGGTCGTCCTGGAGACCTCAGTCAGCCTCTGGTGCCCTGTTGGCTGGGAAGCCCCTGCCCACAGGCCCCGTCATCTCGCAGTGGGTGGGCATTGGTGCCTGAAGGCTGCCCCCCTCCCCTGTCCTGGCTCCGCCTGGGCCTTGGCACTGTGTCTCCCCAGCCTCTTGTAACATGTTCAGCAGCTCAGGTCCAGGAGCGCCCACGGCAGCCCCCAGGCTCTGTCCTTCTCCTCCCCAGCCTGTGCCTCTGCCCTGCACCGACCCCACTCCCCGAGGTGGGGTCCCTGCCCTTCCTTCTCTGGCCCGGCGCCCGTGGGCAACCCTGCCCCCGCTATCAGCCACTATTTCTCTTCCTAGGAAATCACAGCTCAGGGCCCAGGTCCCCAGAGGTGTGAACTCCACCCCTGCACCCGGCAGAGACTAAGAACAGGATTGAAACTGGCAGCACAGCTCACTTCCTGAAGTTCCCTTTTCTTCTAGTGGTTTCTGTGTTGGAGGGCGAGGGGGAGTCGGGGCACAGCCGAGGCTGCCTCACGGGTGTGTGGGGGTGGGGGTGGTGTGTGCCCATACTCAGGGGAGAAGGTGGGGAGCCTGGGGCCTTGTGCGCTGTCCTTTTCTCTGTCTCTGAGTCCCTGGGGCCGGACTGAGACTGGCAGCGATTATGCCCACTTCGCCCAGGGACTCTCAATACCTGGGCTTCTCACCTGAGCTTTCTGGCCTCCACGGGGCCCTGGCGGCTCCAGCTGCCTCTCACTCCTGGTGCAGGGAGGGGGTGTGAGCCCAGCTCATTGAGCAGCTGGCAAGGGCGAGCTGGGAGGGAGAAGGGAAGGCATTCCAGGGCTCAGGGCTCAGCTCACAGGCAGGGGCAGGTCTGGCTGCAGGGGGAGCATGTGCTGGAGACCAGGAGGGTCCCAGGGCTGGCCCGAGTGGACCCTGGCCAGGAAGGCCACTGAGGCTGGCACTCCAGAAGGAACAAGATGGGCTGCCAGGAGCCAGGGCCACCAGCTCTGCTCCTGGGGCCGGGGGAACGTGGGCAGGTGGATGAACACACTGAAGCTGAGTGGAGGTGGCACAGGGCAGTGCACCAGCAGAGGGGAGCTCAAGGGGCCCACTCAGGGCCTGGGCAGAGCCTGCCAGAGCCTGGGGTGTGGGTGAGGGGAAGAGGTGGGGGCAGGGCCCTGGGGCTGAGTGGAGAGGATGGCCTGACTGGGGGCAAGGCACCTGGCTTCCTCAGAGGTCAGGGGCACACCCGACCTGCAGTGGGACTGCAGGGCCACTGGGCCAGCAGCAGAGAGAAACGGGGCCTCCCTGGGGCCTGAGGTTGCTGGCACCATGTAGGGCAGGGAGGGCAAGTGCAGGTGTGAGGCTCCTACCTGTGCTGGGGGAGTCTGGACTGAGCTCAGCAGGGGCCTTGCCAGGGGAAGCTCTGGACAGAGGCGGAGCTGGGCAGGGACCGATGTGGAGGTGGGCGGCAGCAGGGGACGGGATGAGGCCAGAGGGACTAGGCGGACCACAAGACCAGGGAGGTGTCGTACAGGAAGTGTCCAGAACGGACACCTGTGAGGGGAAATCATGTCCCTCCCACTAAATGTGCTCTCCCCAAGGACATGGCCCGACCTTGGGTCCCTGCTGGATCCCTGAGCTGGCAGCAGCCCTGCCCTCAGAGAGAATGTCCAGGAGACAGGTGGAGGTCCACCTGTGGGTCCCGGGGGAAACCCATCCTCCAGCCGTGGGCTCCGCGTCGGCTCCCAGCCTCCGGCTCCGGCTCCGCCTTGGTTACATGGAGCTCTTCACAGGCTCTGCCTCCCAGCCTGGGGAAGGACAGAGTAAGGGGCCCCGCACTGCCCAGGGCACACCCAGGGGGCTGGGGAGACTGCACCGGGCTGGGGCAGGGAGGCCTCCTATAGGCCGTGGGGCTGGCAGCTCAGGACAACGCCCGCATCCGTTAGCTAAGGCCCTGGCAACACAGCAACCCGGACTGCGGGGCTTCAACAACAGAAGTGTATTCTGTCCTGGCTCTGGAGGCCGGCAGCTGGGATGGAGGCCTCAGCGGGGCAGGCTTCTCTGTGTCACGGGAGACTGTCCCGGCTCTCTCCTGGCTGCTGGGGCTTTGCCACCATCTCTGCTGCTCTTGGCTTGTGGGAGCAGCACTGTCTTCACAGGGCGTTCCCCCATGTGCTGTCTGTGCCCCAATTCCCTCTTTGGATGAGGACGGCATCATATCGGATCAGAGGCTTGCCCTACTCCAGGGTGACCTCATCTGAACTTGATGACATCTGCAAAGACTGTTTCCAAACAGGGTCACATTCTGAGGTCCTGGGAGTTCAGACTTCAACACACGAATTTACAGGGGACATATTTTAACTCAGTTTGCCCTCCGGTCCCCCATAATCATGTGCGTCCCACACACACAGTTCCTGTGTCCCATGCTAACGTCTCCAAGATGGCTAACCCATTCCAGCACCAACTCTTAGTCCAAAGTCTCATCTGAATGCCACCTGCATCCAGTGTGGGCGAAACCCAGGGTGAGATTCATTCTGGGATGAAATTCCTCTCCATCTGTGGCCCTTTGAAACTGCACAAGAAATTCTCTGCTTCCAAAGTGCAGTGGTGGGACAGGCATAGGACAGACATTCCCATTCCAAAAAGGATACATCAGAAGGGAGAGGGGAGCCCAAGCAAGCCCAGAACCCAGCAGGGAAAACTGCATTAGATTTTTTTTTGGAAGAAAACAATATCTATACTTTTATTTTACCTGCTTAAAAACATTTTCATTATTGTTTTTAGTTGACACATGATAATGGTATGTATTTTGGGGTACATTGTGATATTTGGATACTTATACACAATGTGTGATGATCAAATCAGGGTAATTAGCATACCCATCACCTCAAACATGTATCACTCTTCCAGCCATATGAAAATATATAATAAATTGTTGTTTGTTATATCCTGCGGTGTCAGAGAACACTGGGACCTATTCCTCCTATCTGACTGTAATTTTGTATTTATTAACTGACCTCTAGCTGTCTCCACCCCCTCCCCTTCCCAGCCTCTGGCAACCACGATTCTACTCTCTATGTCTGTGCGATCAACTTATTTGGCTTCCATTTATGAGTGAGAACATGTGCTATTTGGCTGTCTGTGTCTAGTTTCATTTCACTTAACATAATGTCCTCCAAGCTCATCCATGTTGCCTCAAATGACAAGATTTCATTCTTTTTCATGGCTGGATAGAATTCCTCTGTGTGTGTGTGTGTGTGTGTGTGTGTGTGAACACTACATTTTCTTTATGCTTTCATCTGTTGATGGACATGTAGGTCAATTCCAACACTGGCATTGCGAATACTGCTGCAATGAACGTGGATTGTGGATGTCTCTCTGACATAGATTTCCTTTCTCTTGGGTAAATACCCAGTAGAGGATGGCTAGACCATGGGGCAGTACTAATTTCTATTTTTTGAGGAAGCTCTATACTGTTTTTTAATGGCTGTACTAATTTCAAAGGCAAGATTTCAACCAATATCGCATTCAAGCTCCGCTTTCTCTGAATCTTTGACAGTATTTGTTTTTTATCTTTTTGATAATAGCCATTCTAAGTGGGATGAGATTATATGTTATTGTGCTTTTTATTTGCATTTTCCTCATGATTAGTAATGTTGAGCATTTTCTCACATGTCTGTTGGCCATTTGTATATCTTCCTTTTAGCGATGTCTATTCAGTTCCTTTTTTGATTTTAAAAACTTTTACATATTTTTTAATTTGCCTATTTTTAATCAAAATGTTTGTTTTCTTTTATGTTTAGCTGTTTGAGTTTCTAATATATTCTAAATATTAGTCCCTTGTTGGACGGAGAGTTTGCGAATATTTTCTAACATTCTGTAGATTGTCTTTTCACTCTGTTGATTATTTCCTTTGTTGGGCTCAAGTGATCTTCCTGCCTTGGCCTCCAAAAGCGCTGAGATTAGAGGCATGCGGCACTGCATCGGGCCTGGCATCACTGGCTTGTTCCAGATTTTAGAGAAAAGCTTCCAACTTTTGCCTGTTCAGTATGATGTTGGCTGTGGGTTTGTCACATATAACCTTTATTGTGTTAAGGCATATTCCTTCCATACCTAACTTGCTGAGAATTTTTATGAAGGATGTTGGATTTTATCAAATAATTTTTCTGTGTCTGTTATGATAATGTGGTTTTTGTGCTTCATTCTGTTGATGTGATTTGCATATGTTGAACCGTTCTTGCATTCCTGGGATAAATCTCACTTGATCATGGTAAACAATGTTTTTAATGTGCTGCTGGATTCAATTTGCTAGTATTTGGTTGAAGATTTTTGCATCTATTATCTTCATCAGGGTAATTAGCCTATAGTTTTCTTTTTTTTTGTTGTGTCCTTGTCTGGTTTTGGAATGATAGTAAGTCACATAATCATAATCATAATCATAATCACCGTCATGGTGGCCTCATGCAATATATTTGGAAGAATTGCCTCCTCTTCAATTCTGGAAGATTTTCAGAACTGGTATTAGTTTTTTAGTGTTTGGTAGAATTCCCCAGTGAAGCTGGTGGGCCGCTCTAGAATTGGCGTTTTGATCGGAATGTCATTGGTATTTCAATAGGATTTCTTTGGGCTTTTCTCTGACGAGAGACTTTTTATTACAGATTCAATCTTGGTGCTCATGATTGGTTTGTTCAGTCTTTCTATTTCTTCTTGGTTCAATCTTGGTAGGTTGTATTGTCCAGAAACGTACCTGTTTCTGCCAGGTTTTCTAATCTGTTGGTGTACAGTCTGTAATAATCCTTGTGTTTCTGTGA